CGAGTCTTGAGTTTATCCATGATGATGTGACGACGGAACACCAAGCCGCAACGCTGATTATTAAGCAACTGCCAGTGGTGGCTGGCAGAACTCTGATTGGGTAGAACGGAATCACAGATGAGCGCCGGGCTCATAACCTGTTAAGGATATGAGATTATGCTCGGACTCGGAATGTTTCCTCATTACTTCGTTTGTACTCATCTTTACAATCATGGCTCCCATCCTGCATTTATATATACACCCCTCAGAGGGAGATTCCGCAGGTTGGATATGCATTAACAATGATGACCAAGAAATGACTAATCCCTCTCCTTGTCATCTCCCACATCGGAAGGTATCTGGACCGAATCTTCAACAAGAGTCATGAAATGGAATCCAGGTGCCACCAAACCTCGTGAAGACCAATTTTTAATCCATGCTCATCTTACTTCGTATCGAAATTCCCCCTTACTGTTACAAGTCGGCCTGACCGCAGGCAGCATACGAACCCGTGACGACGGAATGGTACAAGGAAGGATAGCCGACTCAGCCTCGCAAGATGCGAAGCCTGACACGTGACTTCCAGGAAAGGAAGTGGTGATTATTGTCGGAGGACTTGTCATTCTCTTAAGGGGTCCAAGGGGACGTCAGACTATATAGGTTTCGAAGGGTGTACCGGATCATACCGGAGCACTTCGTAATAATACAATCACGTGGCCAGAGGCCTTCGAAGCGTGTCGAGGCGATACGCTTCGACGCAGTCTTTACAAGTCTTGGCACGCAAAATGTCACAAAGTGGTCGATATGCTGATGTGGTGGGATGGTTGGTGGTTGCGCCACAACACCTCAACACCACTGCAGCACAATAACCACGGGATATATATACACGGTCGTCACATAGCCTTACCACGTAGTCAACTTCGTTCACGATCATACCCATACGTTTTGGTTGTGATTATTTCGCTTCTAGTATATCAGTACGCTCAGTATACTATACGCTCTCAGAGACATTGTCCCTCCTATACTTCCCACTTGCCAAGAAACCCTACATGTTGTAACGCCCTAGGTGGAGCGAAAGCGTAGCACTTACGCCCGACCTCGCGGGCTATGCCTGGTCGAGTTTCGGATCGGCCATCTCAGATCTTCTTCATTTTTCGCTGAAGAAGACAGGCCACGGGTATCAGAAATACTTGGTGGCATTCTGCAGTATCATTGATAAAAACAGTAGACATTTAAGAACGTCCGGTAACTTTTTTAATCTATATGAACCCTCGTCTGGTCCTGGGTGAGAGCAATCCAGGGGATCATATCTATGATCCCGGTGGCTTGCTTCGTTAGTGATGCAAGTCTTGCCAAGTTCGGTTGGTGGCTGATGCCATCTTCTGGAGCGGCGGAAATCTGGTATATTGGCAGTTTTCGGCTCCGTGCAACATGCTGGATGAGATGGTATCAACCATTGAATGCGTTTGCCTGCTGGGTCTCAACCCTTGCTGCGAGAATAGTAATAGGAACTTCAGGATACTCACTCAGGTCAGCGCTGAATGGTTGAGGTCGACGACGATGACGAGAATACTCACAAGAAGCTCAAGTCCACTCAGAAGTATCTAACTCGAAAAGGTGCTTAGCTCTCTAGAGGGTCCAAGTGATCCAGGTGGTTTGGCAATATTATCTGACGACTTTCGCCATCTTGACAAGCTCCGGGCTATTACTATACGAATCAGACTAGTGGATCCATCCGCTTTCCACTAATCAGATTCGGGAATATCAAGGCGCACATTTTTGAGACGCTTCACGAATCGTTAAAGAGCGCGACAAAGCAATGACTCACTACTGTAAGTAAGGCATGAAAATTGAAAATTGACTCTATTAAAGCAAGTTGTGGAAGGGGACCCACAATGGAAGCCATCCCCTTTTTCGTATCAACTTGGGGCGACCGTTGTTCTCTTATATTTAGACCCAACTAGCTGCACTGCCATTCTTTATTGGGCAATCGCAAAGTGGTGGTCACTGGGGTTACAGACGCGAGTTACTTGGGTACTTAAATATCCTGCCCGCTGGCCCTTCCATGGACATTTCGGATGATCAGAAAGAAGCCACAACTCACACGTCAGACGACATTGCACTTGAGAAAAAGTTAACGAAAGCGGTCGTAAGATGAGGCACCGCGAGAAAAAAGAGTTCGGCGCAATTACAAAAAGCCATACGTTGCACACACTATGAATCTATCCGTGGCCCGCCACATAATCTATCTAAAAGCTAAAGAGGCCTACACATACAGATCATTTGGTCACGGACCATGGCAACCAGTTATCAAAAACAATGTATGTCTTTCCCAAGTGATATCATACCTCACGCTAAAATGGCCATGCATTTGAAAGGCTGTTGCAGAGGATAGTTTTCCTGAATGGTCTAAACGACGAAAAAGCAAGAGAAGATGGGGACAAAGCTTGTGAAGAAGCAGAACTGTCTCGACCCTCGCCAGGCCGGCCACCGAACGAAGAGATCCAAGATCGCCATGGCCCGATAGCCCAGCAGATGGTATTTTCCGAAGATGGCATTGGTCCTACAGCTTCAACTTCGGTCAGCCAGTCCTCAGAGAACACCTAGCAGAATTACATTCCGTCATCTCAAACAACCGGAATTTAACGCCCCGAAGCTCATTCTTACGTCTCTAACTCGCGTTCCTTCTCGGAGGCTACCGTGCCTGGGCCACAGACTACTTCATCGGCAGGTTCCATTCGTGTTAACTTCATGGCAGAAGGACAGGTTGAAATGCGGAATCGTGTGGAAATGTAGCATCCTCTGCAGGCGCAAGACCTGCCATGCAGCAAGCGAGGCGTCATCATGATCCGGTCAGCCGCAAGAAACGGTATGCTCGTCTGGAGAAGGAGTTGAAGCGACTGTCACGGATAGAGCAGTTATATGAGTAATTGAAAGGACGAGGGCCCAGGTGAGGTAGAAGAGAGTGACTTCGAAAGTAACTTTCGGTCATGAGCGGGTAACGTGGTGGCCGAGCACTGCTCGATTGCACCATCAATCCATATCCGAGCCCTCAAGCAAATCAAGCCCGCTCCTCCAAGTGTTGGGTGCGCTTCAAATACTTCTGAGGGTACAACTGTTCAGCGCCGATTTGGTCAAGCAGGTCACAAGTACGGTAAAGCTCAGAAATGTGATTTTGTGGGCTCCTATCCAAACATACACCCTTACCACCCAATTTTACTGTGCAAGTTTCTCATTCACAGTGTATGGTATGGTGTCGAAAATGATAACCTGTGTATTTGATTGAGCCACCATGAAAGTTAACGACCTTTGATCGGTTATCATCAGACCAAGATGTGAACAAACGTCATCATTGCCGTCATTAGTAGAGCCGAAAAGAGAGTGCCCCAGCAGTAGCTGCCGACCGGACCCTGATCAGCCCTGATCTCGGAAGAGAGGTCTTTGGACTTGGAGTAGAGAAGGTAAAGAACAATTGTTGGAAGGAGGTAAGAGACGCAACAAAAGAGCCCAATAATCAATCTGGGCATTAATGGCAACGTCAGATCTTGCAATAGAGTACCAGCGCCGAAGGGCCAGCTGAATATAGTGTTGAGAAAGACGACAGCGATCACCAGGGTCGTCGCTATGCCGATAATGAAAGGATCCCGGATCCATCCAGGGGTAGCTTTTGAGAAGATGCTGCGCAGGTGATCCAAATCTTCCATTTGGTTGCTCAGAATATTTGTAACAGCCTGGGGTACCATCCTAGATATGTTCACAGGCAATTGATGACAATCGACACGATCGCTGAACCCCACGCAGTATTGGTTTGTGCCGATGGAGAGATTCCTGGGGATCGCCGTGCTGGCGCCATTGACGGCTGTCGCGGCGGCGCTTGCGATGCTGTTTGCTTGGCCGGGAGCTCTTGAGGCTTCAGTTGCCACATTGCTTACGACGCTCCCGGCTTCGGGCACGGCCGTCCGGATTAGGCCCCTTGCACGAAGCGGTACATGTGCGGTGGCGGCCTTAAACTGTGGAAGAATACATCAGCGATCTACCTCAGCTAACATATTAACAGTGAAACACACTCACTGTGAAGGTAATGATACCAGCCTCCATGTCGTCCTTATTGCAAAGCACTTCAAAGCTCAAAACCGTGCAGCAGATTAATGCGGCCACGAATGCGAGTGACACACCTATTTTGAGCCAAAGCTTTTCTCTGAGCATGGTGGTGTAAGTACGAATAATTTTAACAGGTGGGACGATGAACAATTTACCACTGGTGGGCTGCCCATATCATTTAATGAAGCTATGTACCACCCTGTCGAGCTCTGCAGTACTCTTAAGTGACAACGCTATTCACCATTCGGATCCAGAAGGGGCCTCATTCCGTTGAGCTCAGCACCATGTCTGGATTGGGCCCCAAGGGCCAAAATAGGCCCGGGGGGGGGGAGTCGTGCGATTTGCTGCACATACCGGCTCTGGCCACTTCGTAGTCCAGATCGAACATCGTTTCTCGTCTCTTAGCATTGACCACCACCCTTGCCTCAATTTTGTTCAATACCTCACATACCTTCCTTAAACAGATTGTACCGTTTGCTCTGGTCTTCTCTTTAGCCATTCGTGTGGTCAAGATGTCATCTAACTCTTTAAACCGCCGGACACGCATCGACTTTGATGCCATCAGAGGGTTTAAGGGGCCTTCTCAGAGCGTGACCCGCCAGGAAGATCACCATACGGATAGTGAAACTCCCAGTCGCCATGGGACTGGATTTAATTCAGCAGCAGGACTCCCGAGAGCCCTCTCGTCCGGAATCTATCGTACCACCTCAGCAGCTGGTTCGAAGCCCCTGAGCCCCCCAGTAGCACTCGGACATGGGACGGAGAATACCTTGATTGTAAAGCACCAATCCCCGTGGGAAAAGTACAGAAAAAGCCATTGCATACGGCTTGGCGAGGAAGACGACGACATGGTGGACGTTGCCGATGTCAGACACCCGTGGTCCGATGACATTATCATCACTCCTAAAAGGGAGGGTCCCACGCCGTACGTCGTCTCTGTGAAGAGCTTCTCTATTCACAACGGCGAAATAAAATGTCGTATGTTGCAACAGCTTGAACATGAGAATATCGTGTCCGTGAGAGACATATTTCTCTATGACGAATCATTCTACGTTGTCTTCGAACACATGCCGATGTCCCTGAGCCTTTTCACCGGCTTTCCGAAACACCTCGACGAGGATCAACTGACATCGATATTAGGGCAGGGATGTTTTGTGTATCAACTCTCCCGAGTGAACCGACTAACTGTGGCAGATCCTCAACGGACTTGTGTATCTTGCGACAAAAGGACTGGAACATGGCTCCCTGACCACCTCGACCACTCTCATCAACGTTGCTGGTGAGGTGAAGATAGGGAGGTAAGCCCTACTTGATTGTCTACGTGAAGCTGACCTGAGATCACAGCTGACCAGGAGCTTTGTCGACCTTGCCGTCAGGGCAGTCCAGGGTCAAGAGATATTCGGGCGCTGGGCTTCATCACGATGGAGCTGATGCAGAAATATGCCAAAGTTGATGGTACCGTCGGAGTAGATGACCTCGGCCGGTGGCCCTCCGATTCTCTGGCGGCCAGATTCCTCTCTGAGACGACGTCTGCCACTTCGGCAGAGAGGCTCTTGAAGGTAAGTGAGGAATATCAGTTTTCCAAGGGGTGTAATCCTGACCTAGTTAGAGTCCATTGTTCCGCCGGCCCTGGGGAAAGAGAAATCTCCAGGGACTGGCAGATATTACCTCGATTGCCCCATTTAGGGGCTACAGATTGCCACCCAGTTAGACGAGGATGAATTTGTCGTGGAGAGGATCCTATTCTGGCTCCAATGCGGCTTCTATATGCCAAAGTTGGCCGCGATTGCTCAGTGTCTGGATCCAGTCCCAGCTCCCTTTCTAAGGGTTGAGTCTAAACGTGTACTTGATTATATTTCAGATTCACCCTCTTTCCGTGTTTCAATAGGCTGCTCAACCCTCGTAGCCACTCCTTTTCCCTTCGTGCATGGTTGTTATCCTGCTTCATTTTCTGACCTTCGATATGGATATTACTCAAGCCTATGCGATTGGCGTGGGCGGCTTGGTGCTACTCCTTATTCTCCTGAACTTCCGCCAGTTGGTTGTGCTCGGTTGGAAGAGGGTCGCTCCACTCACGCTGAAGTATTTCGTGTATCCACGGCTTCGTCACCGGTTAACTGGTGTGTGGGACCCGGCCGGTGTCATTGCCGGACTTCTCTACAGCGGCGTCAACATCTTCTGTGTCTGCTTCAACGTGGGCTCTGTCTCCATGGCCGGTCTTCGAGCGGCAAATCTCTCCCTCATTAACCTGATCCCCCTCATGGCGGGCCCTCATCTTAGCTTCCCAGCTGATCTCATGGGCATCACCTTACGCACGTACCGGCGAGTTCATCGCTCCTTAGGACTAATGTCGTCGGTCCTGTTGGGCTTCCACGTTATCGCTGTTCTCATGGAGAAGGAAGCATTTCCTCTGAGTATCTCAGAAAACCTCTTTGGATTGATTGTACGTTTCCTAGAGTTAATTACACCCGCTCAACAGAACTGACAGAGTTCAGGGGACAATAGCGTGGGGGCTCCTCGTGCCTCTCTCACACCCGTTTCTGCGGCGTCATTTTTACGAGTTCTTCCTTCGCTTGCATCAGATATTGGCTGTTACTGCGACATACAGCATATGGAGCCACTTAAGGAAGATCCATTCTCTTCCACAAAAGTATACTTACATTACGATGGGTACATTCTTGCTGACCATTCTAGTCCAAGGCGGGCTCATCATGTACCAAACCGGAGTGGTGGGGAATGGGTTCGCCAGAGTCAAGGTCACCAATATCAAAGAGATGCTCAGCAGAGAGCACGTCATCATAGAGCAAGAAGTGATGACGCTCCAAGTACGCCTCACCTCACCACTCCAGGTAAAGCCGGGACAATACATCTGCTTGTGGATTCCATGGTTCGGCCGCCTGCAGAGCCATCCTTTCATGATAACTTCTTGGTCGGACGAAAGTCTGGAGTCCCTGGACGTTTTTATAGAACCACGTGACGGCCTGACTAGAAAGCTTTTGCGATATTCGGACTCGAGCCGTGAGGGCGGCACTTTATACAGAGCTTTGTTCAGTGGACCCCATGGTACCACTGTCCCAGCTGGAACCTATGAGACGGTGCTAATGATGGCGGATGGCTTTGGTATCGTCTCGCACCTTCCTTACCTGAAGCAGCTCATTCATGGGTATAATGCCTGCAAGATTCGCACTCGTCGAATCCATTTGGTGTGGCAGTTAGAGACCAAAGGTACGGCCATCAGATACCCCTTCTCTAAATGCATGACAACACTCAACTACATTAGATCTGGGGTATGCCGCAGCAGACCTGTTGAATGATGCGCTCGTCGGGGATACACTTAGTGTCGATAACACCACCGGCGATACGAGCGACGAGAAGTCAACCAAGGGGAAGGTAAGCTACAATAACCTATACCATGAAAATTCAGCCTGACTTGGAGTATAGATCCTCAGCATTTCGGTCTACATCCACTGGGCAAGCCAGGATAGAGTGCCATTCGGAAAACGCGCGATCGCGTACAGTGGTCTGGCAGATTTGGAAACCATTTTCCAGGAAGAGGTGGCAGGTAGACATATCAAAAGGGTACAGGAGGAATCGGGCGAGAAAGGAGAGACGTTGGTGATGGGTAAGCCCACTTGCCTGACTTCAGATCCCTGCTGAATAATCCAGTGTCTGGAAGCAATGACCTTCGAGATCGGTTGCGAAGTCTAGTCCGCCCAATGGCAGATAAGAAAGTTAGGCTGGAGGAACTAGAATATCAGCCCGGGGACTAGACGGTTAACCACATCTGATGGGAAGGCTCTCGCTCATCCATAGGCGGGCATGTCCTTCGTCGGCCAACTGTCCCTACGCCGTCGGCCAGATCATTCCTCGCAATTTTCTTTCCTCGAAGCTATACGGGAAGTAAACAGGAATAGCGTATTCGGTATTAATCAGGCTTACTTAGTGGTGACATGTCGAAAATGGAAGATGAAACAAGGAAAAATGCAGGACATTCGTTTTTTATATACTCAAGACCGGCTTTTTTTGCTGGCAGGAGAATTAGGATGGAGATGGGTGTCGATAATTCCACCTCGATGGATATACAAGGTGTCATTTCCCCCTCTGATGATGTCTTCAAATTTTGTCAATGGGGTTATCATGTGGGACCCGGCGAACACATTCCACGGGTTTTCGGCGTCTTTTCTAGTGTATTTCCTTAAGAATCGCATGAAATCTGCCGGCTCGAAAGGGTCCACGTCGTGTGAGGGCAGATCTTGCCATTCCCCACCACTAGGCCCCCTAGATATTTTGAGATGTATACGAATCTTTTGAGGGTTGGGTTGTTCCGCGGTCAGGTTAGTGGGTTGTTGACCTGTCGTCCTGATGACGTCAGAATCAAGCACCACTGCTCCGCGTACGGTTTCGTTTTCCATGATTGGACGCTGACCGGTTTGTCCTTCAAGCATCCTCCAGTCGATCTGTGTGGTGCGTTTTCGACGCATTCCTTCGTCTTCCTTTACACTTCTCTCTTGCTCGTCCCTTGCCTGCGTTCTGGTCTTCTTTTGCTCCCCGCTCAGTTCAGATTTCTCTTTCTTGAGTTGTCTTGCTCTCTCTTGCCCTGCAAGTCTTTCCCGTCTCTGATCTTCCTTCTTCGCTGCGTTTTTCCGTCGTTCTCTCGCCGTCCGCTCTTCATTTTCTTGCTCTTTTAGTTGATTATCCATATTCTTTTCAATGTTCTCTAGTCTTGCTTGGTCGCCTTCGTCAGGGAGCCGCCCATTTGGCGTATTCCAATCGCTTCTTAGCTCTTCCTGCACTTCTTGAACATCCCCAATCTCTAGAGCAACCGGTTTCTCCCTGTCACGACCTCCATCCTGAGGGTATCCAGCAGGCAAAATTTCCTGCGCTCGTTCTGGGCTTTCCAATCTGCCAAAGTCGATCTGGGTGACGCGCTTCAGGTACGACTCTCCCATGATCGGCAACGCGTGTGGATCCTGTGACTGGCCGGGGTCTTCGATTGCTCGTCTTTGATTCAGACCTGGGGTCTTTCGAGTTCCCTGCTGCAGTCCGACCTCCTCTCCGTAAAATTCCCAGTCCTGGCTTACATGTCCACTCTGCTCTTCGAGCATTTCCTCTCCTCTCTCCAGTATCTCTGACTGCGAAAGGTCTGGCATGGTTACTCGTTCCCCTGAGTCCCTCATTTCGGCTCTGGGCATTGGTTCTGCTTCCTCTGTAGCGGTATTCACTGGCTGGGCCGGCGATAGCTCATGCTCCTGATCTGTGATCGGCATTGGCTGTGTCTCTTCGGGATCGCTCACCAACCCGTTTCTCCCTGGAATCCCTTCCTGTGGAACCATTTCGATCCCTTGTTGTGGCGCTGTCTTCTCTGCGTTCTTTGATTCGTCTATTGGCGACAGCGACTCGAGAGTGAATAGGGACTCTTCTCGATTACGCCTCATCTCATTTTCGATCCCTTCCTGTTCCACTTCATCCAGAAGGGCCTGATATGTAACGGGTGAATCCTTGGACTGGGTCACCTGTCGCATTGTCGTTGTCTGTGCCTCGTCAATTCTCTCCCATGCAGCCCGTCGTCTTCGCTCTTTCTCAGCGGCGTCCTGCTCTACCTGACCGCCATGCCGCTCTTCGTTTCGGCCTCGCTCATCTAGTCCTCTGTGGGGTTGCTCCGTCGTTTGTTGCTCTTGCGTTTCGCGACTAATCTCTGCTTCTGCTGGGGACACGGTCTTTGGCGCAGTTACCTCGCCGTAGCGAGTTGTAATTTCTGATATAGTAGTTTCATGAACAATGCTCCCTGTCACTGTCTGCACCATATCTTGGTCCTCGCTTTGTCGCTCTATTGCTGTGAACTGCCCCACCTCCACGATTTCGTTATAATCCGGAGTTGAAGATTGGTTTTGCGAGAGCATAGGGATGTTGCCTTCCTTAAGCACATCAGGGGTGATCTGAGTGGTTCGGCTCGGCTTTTCCGGTTTCCCGTGCACCTTTTGTTGTTTTGACAAAATATGACTCTCTTCAGCGGCTCTCAGCAGCGTTGCTCCCATGTCTGATTGTTGCCACTTTCTCGCGCTGATTCCTCCTTTCTTATGAGAAGACTTTCTCCGCTTATTTGGCCTCCGTGCTTTCTTCTTTCGTATCCGCGCATTTTCTTGACGGTCCCGCTTTGCATCATGTTGGACTTCTTCTATTTCATCAAGCATCTCTGAGTCGGATAGCCATTCCGACTCGGTTTGTCCCTCTCCTGTATCTATTTGTTGGTCAGGCTGGGTTGCGGATGTATTCTCAGCCTCCCTGACGGCGTTACCAGCTTGCAAACCCTGCTGCGAGGGCTCTGGAGTATTATGAGGATCCGAGTGTTGTTCGACATGACGCAGCTCTAGACCCTGCTGATTTAGCTGTACAGGCCTCGGTAAAGGGTTTTTACCAATCGTTCCTCGGTCTGCTCTTAAGCAGATGCTGGTCGTCTTCTCAAAAAAGGCAAGAATGACAGACCGCCGTACAAATAAAGATGTCATCTCTTCGAACTCCTCACCACCTATGGCGTATAAAGGTTCCAAAAAGAGGTATGGCTTGTCTTGTTCATGATGACAAGTCCAAGGGATGCCGTATCGCTTAATAGGTGGATCAGAGTCTTCAGAACCCGACAACGCTGACTCCTTTTGCAGTGCTCGCGATGACGCTCCGAGTTCCGTCAGTTCACGAATCTCATCGGACTCAAAG